CCGAAACCGGTTTGGCCCAGTGGATAGAGTGTCAGCCTGCGGACTGAAAGGTCCCGGGTTCGATTCGGGTCAAGTGCATGTACCTTGGTTGCGGGCACATCCCCAGTAGGGGGTGTGCAGGAGGCAGCTGATCAATGATTCTCTCTCATCGATGTTTCTAACTCTCTATCCCTCTCTTCTCTGTAAAAAATCAATAAAAATATATTTTAAAAAAAAGCAAAACATATGTATATGATAACACTAACCAGGTGGAGTTCTTATATTTGAGAGAGGAGCCTTCAATCTCTTGGGGGAAATATCTGTGTCATGAGAATTCAGCATACAGCCTGATAAGAAAGAGGAAGTCCTGAGGATGAGAGAATGAAGAGGGTTGGTTTGTTAAGTAGCAGGAGGTTATTAGATTGCTAATCCACTGGAACGCCGATCATCCGAAGGCATCCCTCTTGGATACGAAGGAAGCTGCTGGTCAGATTCTAACTCAGACACTGGGCTTCATGTAACAGCAGCCTTTGTGGAGATGGTACTGAACACTGTGCTAGGAATAGAGGGGGACAGAAGATGATGAGACCACGTGCCTGCCCTCGGGGGGGCTTAGCCCTAACCACTCCTGCTTAGTCCTTGAACCACAAGGACGCCCTTGACAGGCTGTGGGAAACCACTTCCCTGACATCCTCCACGCTGGGACGTGGGGATTCCGGGTAGGACAGAGGCCATTCGTGGTCACTGGGGAAAAGAACTATTTCTTCATCCTGCCTCCGTCTATTCCAAGCTCCAGCCTGTGGTATGGCCCCACAGCTCACTCTCAAAACTCGCCAGTAACTCCCGGCCTCTCTCTAACCTCTCCACAGCTTGACGCCAGTCCTTGAAATGCTTTTCACCTAGACTTACACGGTGTGTCTTCCCTACCTTCCCTTTGCAGTTCTTTGCCAAACTTTAATTCAAAGTTTTAAATTCGATCTCTTTTCTACTGTCTTTTGATATTCCCCCTCGATGAGCATATCCACTCCCCAGCTCCAGTCACCGCCTCTTAAGAGACGGCCCTCCAGATTGTAACTGTAGCTGGAGGAGGGGCCCCTGGGCCGGGGGCCAGGGTTATTGCCAAGTGCTCTCAGATCGAGGTGCACAAGCACTGACTGAGGAGTGAGATGCCTCTCACACATGCCGGGGTTGCAAATGAAAAGTAAGTACTTCATGACTTAATAAAATACAGTCTCTTAATTAAAAGTATAACCAAAGTCATAGTAGTCATTGTCATATACATTCTCAATCAACAAATACTACATGCAGAACTATCAATATTTGCAACTTTGTATTTAAAGTGGTTTTCATACCTGACAAGTTTGAAAACCATTGCTCAAAACATTTTTCTGATTCAGCATTTCAACTACTACTTGGGGATTATCAAAATCTCAAAATGGGTAATTCTGAAAGCAAGGATGTTTCTCCTCCCTTCCTCCCTTCCAGACTCCCACGTTTATTCTTTCCACTTTATTTCTCTAGTGGCACCACTACTCTCCCAGTTTCCTGAATTAACGGAAGTAGGGTTGCATCTTTGTGTTTTCCTCTTCCTTCCGCAAATCTGTGTGTCCTCAAGCCACAGCATCACTCTGCCCCCAAAGCACTGAGTTCTAACTCTCAAGCGTCTTGTCCCAACAACTCTCTCTCCTCCTCTCTGCAGCGCCAACTTCCATTTCCAGGGTGGCTCTTGGCTCACCTGTGCCAATGTCTCCACTAGAGAAAGAAGTCCAAACGGCTCACCTGGGAGTCCCAAGTCCACAGCTGCTTTCCCAGCTCGCTCTCTGGCCCCTGTGATGCCCTGCGCTCCTACCAGCCAGATGCACTGAGCGTCCCTCACGGGCCTCCTGCTCCCCGCTCCAGGCCGGGCAGCCTTCTCCCCTCACACCTCCAGGCCTTTTCCAGAAAGCCGCCCACACCAGGGCTGTGGACATGCTCTCCTTCTCTGAGCTCCACGGTATGCTCACTCTCACTTAAGTCTGCCCGCGATTGAGCTGTCCTGGGATTCAGAAGGAAGGTGGGCTTGCCTGGAGAAGCACTTGGCCCACACCACCGCTGTGATGGGTGCTGTGAAGTGGCTGGCACACGGGAGGAGTTGTGAACTGCCGAGTGGATGTGCCGGGCCGCTGGCTCCCTGTGCACAGTGTGTGAGGAGAGATGCAGTTAGGGCTTTCTCTTGGTGTATTTGACCTTCATGTTGAAGCATGAGTAGAGTTTGTAAAAACAGAAAATCTCATCATATAAAAATTTTCTTTTACAGTAAATCTAATTAGTATGTGAAGTGGTGGGTGTTTAAAGGATCACAGCACACCTTTGTGGGACACTGAAGCACTCTCCCGCTGCCAGAGCTCAGGGGAAAAACTCCTTTCCCAGCAGGCAGTGTGGCCTCAGGAAGCCCTTTGGGACTGTAAGTTCACCTCCTTTGCTGTCAGCGGGTATCTTAACTTTGGAAATACACTCTTGCCCTGTCAGTCCTTACAGAGCTTTATAATCACAACTACTTTCTCACCAGTACTGAGCGTTTTCTCCTGTGAGCTAGGGAGTTTCCTTTATTTCTGGGTAAAGATGAGAAAGAATAAACAGTTGAAAATGAATATATTCTAAAATCGTTGCCTTTTCTCAGAAGAATAAAACCTAAGCTTGGGTCTTTAGTTCTCCTTTTAAGTTTCTTTTTAAATTTTATTTGCCTAACATTTTTTTCTTTTAGCTCATAAAAAGATTCAAAAACTCCATTCTAGGTTTTCTCAAATACTCTCCCCTCTATTCCATAACGTGGGGAGTACATAGGATGAGATAGATAATTGATGGTATCATAAACCTTGCAAAGTTACAGCCCTCTTATAAAAACGATTTGGGATGTGTGTGTGTGTGTGTGTGTGTGTGTATTTGTATGCTCTTGAGTTGATAGCCTGTGGAGCTATTGCATTAGGTGTATGATGGGAAAGTAAGTTCCTGTCCTTCCACCTTAGACAGTTTTTAGAAGCCTTTGATGTAACAGTGGGAAACAGAATTGAGCTCGTGTCTGTCACTCCTGAGAGCCACGTTTTTGTGGGTCAGTTTCCCGCTGGGTGATACTCAGGCGGGGAGGGCCAGTAGACCATCCTGTGGGGACGGGAAGATGCAAGACTGTCTTTGTCCAGTGGGCTGAGGTGACATGGTGGTGAAGGCGGACCTTAAGCGCCTGGACGATCACTACACAGAGGAGTTTGTGGTGCTCAGAGGGGAAACTGAACAGGGATCTTCTGTGGTTTGCCGGAGAAGTCTCTCGGAAAGTCATCAGTTCACATGGCAATACCCCTGTCAAAGAAAAAGCCTTAAAAGTTGAGGAGTCGCTAGTTGATCAAAGCACATTATGGGTGACGGGTTCCAGGAGTGGGGCTTCCCAGGAGACAGCCTTAGAGTGGCAGGGAGAGGGAAAGGGTGGCGGAGACGCAAATCCGGGGGAGCATTCTGATTTGATGGCCTGGAGCACAAGTCCCAGGTTTGGACTGGCCTTCGGGGTGTCCCTGGCATTCCTCTGCTGGCCTGGTCTCCCAGTGAATGACGCGGCTCCATAGAGTTTTCACTTGAGAGCGGAGCTTCCATTTTCCTCTGCATTCTTTTCGCCTTCTGTAATTTTCTCCACAGAGGGCTGCAGGGTCCTTTTCATCCTAAGAGGGTGCGTTATTACAAGTTTGTTTCTCTTAAATGGAAGCACTTGGCCCACACCTTTGTATGTGGGAGGTCTCCAGGCAACGGCGAATAACGTGAAGGCTGCTGAGAGGTCAAGAAGTGCTTTGCTGGGTCTTGTTCTTTCTAAGGCGGCTCCTCTATCTTACTTGGCTCTGCCTTTCTGTCTCTTCTGTGGCTCTGTCTTGGGCTCTTTCGCCCTCCCTGGTGTCATCCTGTATCTCCAACCAGTGTGCACCCTGAGACCCCAGCGCTGTGCCATGAAGTGCAGGGTGCTTGGAGGACATCCGTCATCCGGATCTGTCTGTGTTCCCAAGGCCTGTCATGGTCTAGACTCCTGTCATCAGCCATCACTCCTTTCTTCCTGGGCATGCGCAGTAGGCCGAAGGATCACCAGGTCTTGTCACTGGTTTGTTGGAAGTCTTCCTGCCTTTTTTCCTTGTTCCTAAGATACTGTCTTCTCTCTTCTCACCTGCAGTTCATGCTGAAGGCTCTCTCTTCCTCTGCCTACCAGGCTGATGTGGCTGTTTTTTCTTTGGAGAATGAGAATAACTAAACCTACCTTGCAGGTTAGACATGATGAATGTGATGTACAGTGTTTATCATATTGCCTGGCACAAAGTAAGTATTCGGCAAATGGTGGAATGTCAGGCTTCTTACCTCCTCCTGAAGTTGAGTATTCCTTGCTTCCCCTCGGTGTGCACACCATGGAAGCAGCGAAGTGAGTATCAGAAATATGGGCGCTGAAACCGGTTTGGCTCAGTGGATAGAGCATTAGCCTGCAGGCTGAAGGTCCCAGGTTCAATTCCGGTCAAGGGCATGTACGTTGGTTGCGGGCACATTCCCCGTAGGGGGTGTGCAAGAGGCAGCTGATCGATGATTCTCTCCCATCAATGGTTCTAACTTTCTATCCCTCTCTCTTCCTCTCTGTAAAAAATCAATAAAATATATTAAAAAAAAAAAAAAAAAAGAAAAGAAAGAAAGGAACATGGGCTACGGCGCCCTGAGCACCTTGGTTGGAGTCCCTAGACTTCTGCTCAACTAGCAGTGAGCCCACAGCAAGTCTGAGCCTTTGGGTTTCTCTCTTTAAAATGGAAACAGCTACACTGGCCCATAGGCTTGTGGGGAGAGCAGAAGGAGATGAGGGTACCGAGGGCGCGGCTCTTTCACAGTCATTGGCTGTGCTGATGCATCTGGCTTTGCACTTCCCACCCCCATGCCCAGATCCCGGAGTGGCTGCGAGTCCTGGGTGAGGAGTTTGGGGCCGTGTGATGAGCCTGTCCCTCTTCCCTTGCAGACTAAGCACACCCTCGGGGATGGCTGCGGCCTTGCCGCGGACGCTGGGGGAGCTGCAGCTGTACAGAATACTGCAGAAGGCCAACCTGCTGTCCTACTTTGACGCCTTCATCCAGCAAGGCGGCGATGACGTCCAGCAGCTCTGCGAAGCCGGAGAAGAGGAGTTCCTGGAGATCATGGCCCTCGTGGGCATGGCCAGCAAGCCCCTGCACGTCCGGAGGCTGCAGAAGGCACTGCGGGACTGGGTCACCAACCCCGGCCTCTTCAACCAGCCGCTCACCTCCCTGCCCGTGAGCAGCATACCCATATACAAGCTGCCCGAGGGATCGCCCACCTGGCTGGGCATATCCTGTGCCAGCTACGACAGGGGCAGCGGCGCCCGGGAACCGCACGTCAAGGTGCCCAAGTGCGCGGCCATCACGTGCGTGCAGAGCCCGGGCCCCGGCAAGCCCGACGGGGCGGGGAGCCTGGCGCTGCAAGGGGTCGGGGAGCCCCGGCTCTGGCAGGGCCCCCACGGCACGGAGAGCGAGCACAGCCTGTCCCCCGCCGACCTGGGCTCCCCCGCGTCCCCCAAGGAGAGCAGCGAGGCCCTGGACGCCGCGGCCGCGCTCTCGGTGGCTGAGTGTGTGGAGCGCATGGCCGCCTCGCTGCCCCGGAGCGAGCCAGGCGAGGCGAAGGAGCTGCTGAAAGCCAACAAGAAGCTGGCCAAGATGATCGGCCACATCTTCGAGATGAGCGACGAGGACCCCCGCAAGGAGGAGGAGATCCGCAAGTACAGCGCCATCTACGGCAGGTTCGACTCCAAGCGCAAGGATGGCAAGCACCTCACGCTGCACGAGGTAAGGGGAGGGGGGGGGGGGCTGTGCTGCTGGGAGGAGAGCCAGGGGACAGCGCCCAGGGGCCCTCTGACAGCAGGAAAGGGACCTTGTCTCCTGTGCTGGGGCGTTTTCATGTTGAGCTCAAACATGCGCTCCGGAACTGCAGTGAAGGATAACTGAGAAAAATGCCAGAATTTAAACAGCGAAAGCACCAAGTCTTTGCATTTACAAAGCACTGTGAGGTTTTTTGTTTGTTTGTTTGTTTGTTTGTTTGTTTGTTTTCATTAAATGGGATTTAAATGTAACCATTCATTAAAAATCATTTTTGTAGACATCTTTTTAGAAAAAAAATTGTGGAAATAACCAGAACTTAAAGCAATTTTCAGCGAGCATAGAAAGCAAATTAGATGATGGTTGGAAGAACTATTATAACTTTGGTTTCATTTATTTGGACTTCTATTGTTCTGGTTTGATATTGGGCATTAAAAGTCCTGGTTGTTTCCTCTTCCCAGCACTCTATCTAGAAACGCTCTGCTTGTGTGTGAGATGCCTCTTATCTCATTTGCATTTACTCCCTTTCTCTTGCCCATCTGGCCACACACCGGCTTACGGTTGAGCTCAAGCGTAAGCTTAACTCTGATCCATTTGCCTTCAGCCCAGTGACCTCTCCCTTCCATGATTATCCCCGCATACACTTCTGTCGCAGTAACGTCAGCTCTTACTGTACTCATTTGTACACTGGTCTGTCAGGATAGGGTTAGGGTTAGGGTTAGGGTTAGGGTTTCGTGAAGGCTGAAAGAATGTCTCATTCATTTTATGTCCTCAGAACCTAACATACCCAACAAACGCTTGAAAAATAAATGTACTTTGCCAAAACCAGTTGGCTCAATGGATAGTGTCAGTCTGCGGACTGAAAGGTCCCAGGTTCGATTCCGGTCAAGGGCATGTACATTGATTGTGGGCACATCACCAGTAGGGGGTGTGCAAGAGGCAGCTGGTCGATGTTTCTCATCGACGTTTCTGGCTCCCTCTCTCTCTCCCTTCCTCTGTAAAAAATCAATAATATATATATATATATATATATATATTTTTTAAATAAATGCATTTTCAAAACTTTAGAAAGATATTCTATAGTTAAATTTTTAATATCCATTTATCCTTCACAAGAAAGAAAAAAGCCCTGTTGGAAAATATGTTCCGTTGGATGCAGAATTCCATGTTAGAAACATGAGATCTTTCCCCCAGCACAGACTTGTATTGTAACAATAAAAAGAATACATGCTTAGGCAAAAGTAGTCAGTTATCGCAAAGGATGTCAAGTGATTGAATCTGTAAACTTTGAGATACTTTTCTTTACAAATATGGGATCATATTTTGCACACTGTTCGCCAAATTTTCTTTTTAAAATTTAACATGCACACACAGCACAATATACTATTAGATATTTTTTTAAGTCAGTACACACGGAGCTATCTCATTTATGGGCTGCATGTTTCTCTAAGACTTTATGCCAACTTCTAAGATTATGGGGTCAAAGGGTTTATAAATTTAATATTTTAGTAGATACTGCTAAATTACCTTCTAAAAGCTGCAATAGCTTACATCTTCACTATCAATATATGCAAGTGCCCATTTCACTACACTTTTGTTAATATTGTGTTTATCATTCTATTTTAAATTTAAAAAATTGTTTTCAATTACAGTTTGCTTTCAGTATTTATTTGTATTAGAGGCCCAGTGCATGAAAATTCATGCACTCAGGGGGTTCCCTCAGCTCGGCCTGCGCCCTCTCACAGTCCAGGAGCCCTCAGGGGATGTCCTACTGAAGCCTGCATTCTGGCCTTCCTCTGTGGGAGGCTCCGCCCCCATCACCCCACTGCTGCTGATACCCTCCCTCAGTGGGAGGCCACCGGGTGGGCCCTCAGGGCCCTATGGAAGTTCAATTTTATGTAAGAATACCTATTGTCTTGTATGTGTTCACCAGTCTAATTCTCCAACCCTTCACCAGGATAGAGTTATTTTAATTAACTTAGCTAGATAATATAGTTTGATGTCTAGAAAAGCAAGTGTCCTTCAATAGTCTTGTATTTCAGCTTTGTATTTTTTTTTTAGGTAATCTTATCCATTTCTCCTTCCAAATGACATTTTTTAATGCATTTGTCACATTTTTCAAAAATTTCTGGTGGTATTTTCATTGTAAATGCCTTAAAAGTACAGATTAATTTGTAAAAAAAAAAAAAAAAAAAAAAAAAAAAAGACACATTTACAAAACTCCCATATAGTGTGTATATTTACTCATTTAGATCTTTTATATTCCTTGGTAATTTTTAAGATTTTTAATTCACATAGGTTTTGTTTATTTCCTTTTATGTAATATACTCTACTATATATATGTCAATATCTATATTATACATATCTATAAATTTAATTCATTTATATAAAATATAAAAATATCCTAATATATAAAAAGCCAGGGGCCATCACAACCAAAACAACTGGATAGACAACTGACAGCAGGCTGCATGGGGCGACAAAGTCGGCAGGGGGGGCAGTTGGGGATGACCAGGAGAGTGGGGGAGGGAGGAAGTTGGGGGTGACCAGGCCTGCAGGGGGGGCAGTAAGGGGCAATCAGGCCTGCAGGCAGGTGAGTAGTTAGGAGCCAGCGGTCCCGGATTGTAAGTGGGATGTCTGATTGCTGGTTTAGGCCCGATCCCTGGGATTGGTCCTAAACCGGCAATCGGACATATCCCAAGGGGTCCCAGATTGGAAAGGGTGCAGGCTGGGCTGAGGGGAACCCCCCTCCATCCTCCATGCACAAATTTCATGCACTAGGCCTCTAGTCCTATATAATAAAACTCTAATATGCAAATCGCCGAACAACAGAACAACTGGTTGCTATGATGGCGCGCTGATGCAGATGGGGGGGCTGATGCTCAATGCAGAAGCTGCCCCCTAGTGGTCAGTGTGCTCCCACAGGGGGAGTGCCCCTCAGGCAGAAGCTGTGCTCATGGCTTGTGAGCATAGTGGCAGCGGCAGCGCTAAGGAACAGCGAGCAGAGTGGTAAGGAGCAGTGAGCAGGCGGGTGGTAAGGAGCGAGGAGTCCTGGACTGCAAGAGGGATCCCAGACTTCGAGACTGTGCAGGCCGGGCTGAGGGACCCTCCCCACCCTCCAGTCCCCAGTGCACAGATTTAGTGTACTGGGCCTCTAGTATAAGATATAAAAATAATATAATAATAAATGAAAATTTTCCCACTTAAAAAAAAATTGCTCTCATTGGCTGATTTTTGTATATTAATCATGTTTGCAGCAACGGTACTATCTAATCTTTTTTAAAATAAATGACTTTATTTTTTAAAGTTTATCTTTATTGTTGAAAGTATTATAGATGTCTCCCTTTTTTCCCCCATTGACCTCTGTCCCCACCCCTACTGCTTCCCAGGCCTTCACCACAGTATTGTCTATGTCCATGATTTTTGCATATCCAATATAATAAAGAGATAATATGCAAGTTGACCATTACATAAGAGATAATATGCAAATTGTGGCTACCCCCATGTGGCCACAAGATGGCTGGCAGGGGAGGGCAGTTGTGGACAATCAGGCCAGCAGGGGAGGGCAATTGGGGTCAATCGGGCTGGCAGGGGAGAGCAGTTGGAGGTGATTGGGCCAGCAGGGGAGTGGTTAGTCATTGACCAGGCTGACAGGGGAGTGGTTAGGAGGTGATCAGGCTGGCAGGCAGGTGAGTGGTTGGGAGCCAGCAGTCCTGGATTGTGAGAGGGATGTCTAACTGCTGGTTTAGGCCTGATTCCCGTGACATCCCCCGAGGGGTCCCATATTGGAGAGGATGCAGACTGGGCTGAGGGACACCCCCCACTTCTCCTCCCCCCCCGCCCAGTGTATCAATTTTGGGCCTCTCATATGAATATAAGTTCTTTGGTGGATCTCTTCCCACCCACTCCCCTCTCTGCCTTCCCTCTGAGATTCTTCCGACTGTTCCATGCTTCCACAATAAGTCTCTGGGTCTATTTTATTCATTAGATTTCAAATGTGATGCTTATCTTTCTTTGACTGGCTTATTTCGCTTAGTATAATACTTTCCAGATTTAGATATGAGTGTATATTGGAGCTTAAGATCAGAGAATTGATTAACAAAAAGTACTTAGTCACAGTGAACTTATGATTTGATCTATTTTGGGCGTATCCTTTCGCAGATGTTATGCCTTATTGTTGCCATACAATAACTGACTCTTGAGAACTTGTAAGTAGAGCTAGAAAGTACACTTAGTTTATAATTTGGAAATACCTGGACACTTTCACTACCTGTAAGCCAATAAAAGAGCCTATTAAAAGGCTATATGGTTGTCAGTATTAGAAAACAAAGAACATAACTTGTTGGCAATTCTATTTTATGCTTTAATCCAGCTTTCATATAGTTTTTAAAACAGCAGATGAAACACAAAGTTTCAATAAAAGACTTGTATTTTTTATCAGAGCAGAAGTATGTTAAAGAGATGATTTTAATAAACCAAATAGACCTCACATTTTTAAAAAAGAACCCACTATAACCTTTTTTAAAATATCCAAAACGAATAATTTCACAGTTGGCTTTGCTAAAGGGCTGTTTGCTTCTTTAGATAAAGAGGTATAGATGGTATTTAAGTAATAAAACTGTGGTGGTTTTCCCAAAATAAGGGGGCACTTAAAATGAATGCTAGTAGGCTGAGATGTGGGGTGAGGGCTTTGGAAACTTACACCACTAGTTACTTGCAACTCTAGTATATGAATCTGATCCAATATTATAGTTCAGGATAGACGTTTATAAATCAGAATTTTTTCCCAAAGTAGTAACCATTCAAAAACTTGGTGGAAGTTATGAAATCCTGAGGAATTAAAGGAAGTACTATTAAGTGTGCCTTTTAGAGAGTACAATAAATACCAGTAGTTGTTGTTGTTTTTTAAATCCAGTCTTATATTCTTTGTCTTTTAACTAGAACATTTGGTTCATTTACATTTATTATAGTGACTAATATTTGAATTTATTTCCATTGAATTGTTTTGTATCTCTTCCCCTTCCCAACTCTTCATATCAGATTGGCCATCTGGAATAAGTTTATTTTAGCCTAAAGAGCATCACGTAGAATTCCTTTAATGAAGGTCTGCTGATGGCAAACTCTGTCCTTCCCCATTCACTAGAAATTATTTTTATTTTGCCCTGATTATTATTATTATTATTTTAATCCTCACCCCATGACATGCTTATTGACTCTTTAGAGTGAGAGGAAGTGGGGTGGGTAGAAGCTTTGGTGTCAAAGAGCAACATAGATTGATTGCTTTTCCAAATCCTCAACCTAAGTATATGTCCCAAGTGGGAATTGAACCTCCAACCTCTCCGTGAAGGGACGACGCTCCAACTGAATCACACTGGCCAGGGCTGCCCTGATTCTTAATTGACATTTATCCTGGGTATTCTATGTTGTCGGTTATTTTCCCTTAGTAATTGAAGATACCATTTCCTTGACTTTTGCTTTTCTTTTTTGTGTTTAGAAGTTTAATGGTTATCTGAATACTATCTGTTTTTGAAATCTTCTGTTTGCCTCTGCCCCAATTTCTTCTCTCCTTCTGATTTCTCCATTTTCCTGTTTGTATTACTATAGTACCCTTTAGTCATATTTTCAGCTTTTGTTTCTTTAAATAAACTATTTAAGGGTCTGATCCTGTTATCTGTTCTTTCTCCTGGTTTTTACTTTTGATGCTTTGGTGGTTTTTTTTTTTTTTTTTTTTTTTTGTGGGTTGTGTGTGTGTGTGTGTGTGTGTGTGTGTGTGTTTGGATCTTTTATGATTTCTGTCTATGAACTCATTTTTCTTGGAAGTGTGGGAATGTTTTGAGGCCTGGGAGGAAAATGGATTCTTCTAGAGGTTATTTGCTTTTGACTTTACCAGGCATCTGTACTCTGCACACTACAACCCTGGGACCCTGTGGGAACAAAATCACAGCCTCCGTAGTGTGAATTAGGGCTGAAATGTGAGGGCTGATTTGAGGTCAGGAAGCCTCGAGGGAGATAGCTGTTCTCTCCCTCTCTGTAACAAGGTTCAAGATGGGTAATTTCCCCTGCCCTGTCCCTGGGGGTGCAGGTGCCTTCCAAGCCAGCCTTACATTGGGTGTACAGTGCTTAGTGATTTCAGCTTTATGGAGGAGAGGTCTGTACTCCTCACCTTTGATGGGTCCTGAGTGCACCCTCCACACTCACTTTTCCTCTCACCACTCTTCCCTCCGCTCTCACCAGCCCCACAAGGCTGTGAAAGTTGAAGCTCTGGTTCATCTGGTTTAGTAACTGTCCCTAATGTACTCCTTTGAGATACTGTCTTCATTCATTTTGACCTGAATCGTCCTTACTGTCTTACTGGTCCACCGATGTATTTAAGATCATGTTCCTCCCCTCTGTCTTATCCAGAAATTTTAGTTATCCGGGAGAGGGGCCAGGCGTGGTACCCGGCTCCCTGTGTGCTGGAGAGCCTCTCTGTCACCCAGCACTCATCCAGCTTTTTATGCTGACAACACTGAACCCAAAGTCACCATCATTTGATTGTTAAAGGTTATAATTTTAACTCCCAGCAAAGAGAGTTTTTTTTAAGTCTGGTTATGATAGAAAGCTAAGTTTAAGAAAATTTTTACATGAAGTTATGAATGGAATTTTGGTATTTTTATCCACGGAAAGAGGAAGCGGAGGAGTAAGTAAAACAATTAGGGAGAATATCTTATTTCATACTTTAACAAAATTAGAAACTTAGAATTTAAGAAAATTAGCATTGTGATCCAGTCTGCGACTACTGTTTGGGGGTATTTGTATCATTTTGTTAAAATAGAATCGTTGTTGATTTAATTATTAGTGCCTGGGAGCATGTAATCTATAAAACATGGACAGAAAATACATTTTTGATGGGGAAGTTTGATGATCATCTTCTTACTACAGCTTGGACTGAGCTACTGTTATTTCTCTAGCCTCATTTTTTTTTTTTTTTTTTTACCAGAAAACTCCCTAGAAAGGAAGGGCCTAGAAAGTTCAGTCTACCTTTTTGGTTTATTGGAGCCAGAATCCAATAACAAAGAATGGTATGTTTGTTTTTCTTAGTTCCTGGTAGGAAAATGGAAGGAATGCTAGAACATTGTTTTCAGTTTATATTGAGAGTTATTTTCTTGCCAGAACCTGTTTGGCTCAGTGGATAGAGTGTCGGCCTGCAGACTGAAAGGTTCCGGGTTTGATTCCGGTCAAGCACATGTACCTTGTTTGTGGGCACATCCCCAGTAGGAGGTGTGCAAGAGGGAGCTGATCAATGATTCTCTCTCATTGATGTTTCTAACTCTCTATCCCTCTCTCTTCCTCTCTGTAAAAAATCAATAAAATATATATTTAAAAAAAAAAGAAAAAGAAAAAAGAAGAGTTATTTTCTTTGGTTGTGTGTACTCATTTACCTCCTGGTAACACCCTAATCTCTGAGGTGGCGCTATACCCTGCTGGGCTCTGGGGAAACTGAGGCTCTGAGTTTTCACATGTCCAAACCCCCATGGCTGGCGAGTGACCCAGCAGAACATACCTCAGACCCGTCTGCCTGCAAATCCTATTCTCTCTTTGCCCCAATCATGCCTTGAATAAGTATATTTCTTGCTTTTAAAATAAGTCTAATGTTAACCTTTGACAATTCCCTACATCTATTTAAATTGACAAGTTATGTGAAAACAATTTTTCTAGCTTATAAAACAATTACAGGGTTTAAGTTTTGGATAACATTTGCTATTTTAAATTTTACTACAGGGTTTTTGGCCAACTAGTAACTCTGTATTGGCAATGTTTAACTCTTAGGTGGAAGAATAGAATTAGGTGACTCTCAGCAACTCTAAGACCTTGCTTTTCCACGATAGTCCTAATTTGTGATAACTATTCTAAGTGATTTGGTAGATATTTAGCTAAAATCATTTAATTTTTATTCCTTGAGGAATTTTTATGTCAGTTCACATTGAGAAAAAATCTTATAGACCATGCACACGCACTTTTAGTTAGGGGAATATTGTCACCTTATGACACAGTCAAATCCCTTGGTTTTTCATAAGAAAAATGAGCTGCAGGACATCTTATACTTTTTATTTTGCTTTAGCTTATTTCTCATAAACTCTCACATCTAACCAAAAATAAATAAGCACGTAAACAAGTAAACCTACGGCAACTATTGACTACTTTGAGTTCTGAGAGATGATCGATGCTTGATTTTCTTTGGAAATTAGGCATTAGGACTAATTGGAAATAAAGGCCTTGATTTTTTAAAAAATAAATTCTGATTTCATTATATAATCATATGACATGCTTATAGTCTGTTCTTAAGTTAAATGTTTTATATGTCGATAAACTGAAATAGAAATGTTTCTAATTTTGAAAACTGTGTTGATATGCAGCTCACTGTTAACGAAGCGGCTGCTCAGCTGTGTGTGAAGGATAATGCCCTCCTGACGAGAAGGGATGAACTTTTCGCACTGGCGAGGCAGATTTCTCGAGAAGTCACCTATAAATACACTTACAGAACCACCAAGTAAGTCTAACTCACTGCAGCACTTTTGCATTGCTTTAGAGAAGTAGAGCCTGAATACCAACCCATTGATAGTACATAAATGAGCATTTCTGAAACAGTGTGATGATAGTCCTATAGAATTAAGTAGTAAAGTGACTTTTCACAACATTGCCAGCCAGGCTGGCGTGGCTCAGTGGTTGAGTGTCAGCCTTCAAGCCAGAAGATCATGGTTTGATTCCTGGCCGGGGCACATGCCTGGATTGCAGGCTCGATCCCCAGTGTGGGGGCTGCAGGAGGCAGCCGATCAATGATTTTCTCTCATCATTGTTGTTTTTATCTCTCTCTCCCTCTCTCTTCCCCTCTGAAATCAATAAAAACATTAAAACAAAACAAAACAAAAAACATTGCCAGTGTTTTTTATTTTGTTTTGTTTAATTCTGTTTTATCTTTCTTTAAAAACAGTAGTTCCCTGGCATTGTTCTGCTGGGTTTCAGACATTTTCTCATGCATATGCTTGGGTTGTGAGTGTGATGATGGGATTTAGTCAGTCAGCATTTATAGACGGATCTGTATACCACTCACTATAGGAAATTGAGCTCAGAGGAAGAAGCAGATTAGTTCCTCTTGCAAGATGTTTGAAATTAGATGAATAAGTAAAAAGAATCCATTGACCAGGATTTAAGGGAAATTGGAAAATGCTTTTATTACTAGCAAGTGGTATATGAAACATGTATTTGGGAAAAAAAACAAAAAAAACAAACAACCACTAATGTTATAAAACAATGGTGGTTCTCAAATGTAATGTGAGCACTCCTCACCTGAGCTCTAAGCACTGGATGCAGTACCCCTCGACTTTGCCCCCTTGGTTCCCCATGGGCTCTGGTTCCCAGGACCCATCTTTGGTGCATGCCCCTGCTACTGCACACCTGCAGACGGCCACCCACGGGACAGTGACAGAGCCTGTGCTGGAAAGCCACCTCCTCAGCCCTGATCAGTCACAGTCTCTGGAGATGCAGCCTTGGAATTCAGATGACACGCCTCCGAGTCTGAATACCCCCTCACAGGCATTGTGGCCATTCCTAACTCAGTGCGCTTCCCGCCACTGGAGCTCACACATTTACAGGGACAACTGAACTCATGCAGACTAAATGAACAGGGGAAGAATACAGCGATATTATAGGGTTACTTACAAGAGGTTTTTTGTTTTTTGTTTTTTGGAATTGGCTCATCAAGAACTGACTTAGTGATTTTTTAAAATTTCTTTACTGTATTATACAAAATTTTCCTTCTGATTGATTTAAGCAATTTTCTTTAATCAAAGTAATATGTGTCCATGATTTAAGAAGTCATAAAATGCACAAGGTTTACAATGAAACTCAGCAGTTCTCCTGCTCACCCCTTTCTCGCTTTCCCCTTCTTAATATGTATGGCTACTAGAGGCAATTACTTCAACAGTTTTTAGCTGTTGTTGTTGTTTTTGTTTTTGTAGTATTTGTATTTCTTTTTTAAGTTACATATAGTTCAAAATACATAACACTTCTACATAATTTAGAAGACAAAATTATGTAAATAGGTAATACAAAAAAAGTTTCACTCCCATTCCTGTCTCATTTTACCTTGTTTTTCTCCTCCATGTAGATAGCTTTTTAAATGTTTTTTTTATAACCTTGCAGTTTTTGTTTATGTACATGCAAAAAAATATAGTTTCTCATTTTTCACTATATTACACAATAGATAGCATATGTCTACATTATTCTGTATTTTGCTCTTATTTTATTTTATTTTATTTATTTTTATTGATTTTTCACAGAAAGGAATAGAGAGTTAGAAACATCGATGAGAGAGAATCATCGATCAGCTGCCTCTTGCACACCTCCTACTGGGGATGTGCCCGCAACCAAGGTACATGCCCTTGACTGGAATCGAACCCGGGATCTTTCAGTCCGCAGGCTGACGCTCTATTCGCTGAGCCACACCGGTTTCGGCTGTATTTTGCTCTTATTTTAACACTAGAGGCCCGTGGGGTCCCTCTGCTTGGCCTGCGGGATCGGGCTGAACCAGCTCTCTGACTTCCTTTGAGGGGTCCCGGATTTCGAAAGGGCACAGGCCAGGCCGAGTTGCACAATCGGGGTGGCTAGAGAGGGACAGCAGGAAGGATGGCAGGAGGGTGTGTCTGGCCCATCTTGCTCAGTCTAAATCTGCTGGACCCCAGCAGCAAGCTAATCTAGCGTCTGCCCCCTGGTGGTCAGTGCACATCATAGTGAATGGTTGAGTGGCCTTAATATATCATTAGCATATTACGCTTTGATTGGTTGAACGGATGACCAGACACTCAGCATATTAGGCTTTTATATTATATCGGATGTCTTGGAGGTCTTTCTCTATACATATTAGTACATTTACATCTTCCTCATTATTTTTACATTGATGTATCATGATTCATTTAACCAGTCCCCTATTGATGGATACTTGAGTTGTTTCTAGTCTTTTTCATTATAAATAATACCTCAGTAAATAGCATTATGCATATCTTATTTATTCTGCAGTTTACGTTTTTTGACATTTTAACATCTTTTATATCAGGAGTGGGCCTTTTTTCTGCCCAGGGCCATTCGGTTGTTTAAAACATCATTTGCAGGCTATACAAAATTATCAATTTAAAAATTAGCCTGCTAATTTTGGTCATACATTTAATTAACTCACCCCAATGCCTTGGCAGGGCTAGGCCAAATGATTTCTTGTGCCTCATATGGCCCAAGGGCCAGATGTTCCCCACCCCCGTTTTACCTGAAAGCGTACCAGAATTGATGGCTTGCCGTAGTTTAAGTGGCAGTAGTAGTGGCATGTCTGTGGAGGGCCTCTGAGGGTTAGGTCCCAGCAGAAGGGTCTCTAGGTCAAGGGAAGTGCATTGTTGTGTCGGGAGGTAGATAAAAAGCATTTTAATCTCATGTAGCTCCAAGTATTCATCTTAAATGGCCACTGTTGTTGTTTTGTCTTAAATTGTTTCTACTGACCCATAAAGGGATATTATGGAATACAATCCTCAATTTTTTCTCCTTGTTCATTATGGGATAATCAATATATACTCATTGAGTACTTTCTGTGTGGGGAATTCGAAGTGGTGGTCTTTAAAAATGTATAATATAATTGCATTTGCCTATTTCATTGTTAATTTAGAAATGAAAAACCTAGTTTTCCTCATTTCAGTATTTGTTATGCATGTCTTATTTTTGGTGTCAGGTTGGAAGTTTATAGATTAAGATGTCTCTAGAATAAAATTTCTTCTCAAGTTTTTCTCGCTCCCTCATTCCCCTCAGGTCAAAATGTGGAGAACGAGATGAATTATCCCCGAAGAGAATTAAAGTGGAGGTATGGTAATATTCTTTTCTTATGTTAATAATGTTTGCTTTAGTAACTTAAAGTAAAAAAAAAAAAAAAAAAAAAAAAAGGATGGTCCCATAAACTAGTGAAAAATATAAAATATAGTATCTTAAAAGCAATATATAATTTTTTATTTTGACATATATATGGTCATTTGAACTAGCATCCTAAGGAAGTTCTTAGAAGGAAACAACAATGATAAGATTGATGTCCAGTTGGTTTATCAAAGGTTGATTTGTAAATAGGTGTTTTTTACAGATTTTAAATTCTACAGGTTAAGCTATTTCTTTTTTAATTTTATTTACAGCGTAAGTCACCTTATTAAATCTTTTTAAAAGAGCTAAGATTTCATTTCTTTACATTAACTATAGAGGGAGATGACAAGTTAGTAGGTGTAAATTATAGAGACTTTACTGTAAAGCCTCTTTTAGGGGACATGTTTGATTTCAGACCTGCCAGTGGGAAGGTGGGAGGTAAGCAAGAAAAATTTGCTTCTCTTCGGACTCTCAGAACTCTCAGATGGTCTCAGAACTCTGTTCCTTAATTTGGGTTGAATGCAGTAGTTCCCCCACTGCCCAGTCACGGTTTCACTTTCCATGGTTTCAGTTACCTATGGTCTCAGTTTCCCACCGCCAGCTGCAGTCCAGAAATATTAAATGGGAAATTCCAGAAATTACCATTCACAAGTGTTAAATCCTGCACCATTCTGAGGATGGGTGAGATGTTGCTCTTTCCCGCCTGAGAGGAGAGATGTCCAGAGCACCCGGGCTGTGTATCCTTCTGCCCATTAGTCACTGGCCCGCATCTCGGTGCTTCTGTGCAAGGAGCCCGTATTGGACTTAATAATGAAAGCTGAAGGCAAAGGTAGTGAGGTTGGCCATTCAGATACGCCAAAGAGAAGCAGTTAAAAAAAGGCTTTCCTTAAGTGAAAAGGTGAAAATTCTCAACTTCAAAGGAAAGAAAAAAAAAATCCTATGCTGATGTTGCTAAGATCTACAGTCAGAACAAATTGTTTTACCTGTGAAATTGTGGGTAGGAAAAAGAAATGTGTGTTAATTTTGCTGTTGTACCTTAAGCGGCAAACGTTATGGCCACAGTGCGAGATAAGTGCTTAGATAAGGCGGAAAAGGCATTAAACTCGTGGGTGGAAGACATGAGCAGAAAATGTGTTTCAATTGATGGCAGTGTCACACCAGAAAGCACTGAGCCAACACGAAGGCTTCAGTAAGGGGTCTCCTGAAATGACGCACACCAGTCATTTCCTGCAAGTAAGGGATGGTCATCAGATTGCGGGCTAGGGTTAGGCTGAAAAATAGACAAATTACTGGAAAGGAGGGAGGAGAGGTGGCCACATTCACATAACCGTTACTACAGGATATTGTTATACTTGTCCTTCTTTATTAGTAGTTCATCTCTTACTGTGCCTGATTTACAAACTAGACTTGATAAAGGAATGCATGTGTAGGAAAACACAGCATATAAGATTCGGTGCTATCTGCTCTCAGGCACCCGCTGGGGGTCTTGGGATGTGTTCCCTGTGAAGAGGGCGGGGCTGCTGTCCTTTCTTAGGTCAGCCGGTGGCAGAGGAGTATTTTGAAGCCCAGTGGCACCCTCCTTGTTTTCTTGGGTAGGAGAGAGGGTTCAGTGCTCGGAGCCACCCATTACTGAATTTCAAGTTATAGCAAATAAGCTGTGTTTGACCACCCTAAATATCTACCATCAAGTTATCCTTACTGAGCATCTGTTTGTATTGGAACAGTCCTTCGTTTATACCAAAGCCACAGCCACCTGTTAAAAACATAAATCCTTTTGTGCGTACATCTCTCCAAATGGCTGTCTACTATATCCCGAATAAAATCTACATGTTTCCCTTAGGCATCTAAAACCCTACGTGGTCTGACTCTGGCTGGCTTCCCTGACCTCATCTCCTAGCACAGCTCTTTTTGTGTCCCAGCTACATGGACCAATTCTCTGTTGCTGGAACATGCCAGACTCACGTGTGCCTCCGCATCAGCTGTCTCTGCCTAGATCTCAAGATAGGCACTTGGTTCCCCTGGCTCCACTGCCTCCCTTTCTAAAAGGAACACCCTAACCCCAAAATCACATAGGCTCATTCTCGTGGTTTGTTTAATTTGTTTTCCTACCTCTTCCCAGTATCTGGAACTAGTATATATTTGTTTTAAATTTATTATCAGTCTGCACCATTAAATGTGAATAGAGCTTTTATTTGTCTATCCAGTAGATCTTAGTACTGAATGTAGAACAGTGATTTACACTTGATAGGCACTTCATAAAATCTGCTAGATGAAATAGCTGTGGATAAGCCTCTTTGACTTCTAAAGCCACCAATGATAAGAGCACAACATCCATCTGCTGCCTCTGTGAGGATGAGCCTGCCATCAGGCCTGTGCCCAGACAGGAACCCATATGCAGCCTTTTGGTGCCTGGGATGTGCTCAACCAGCTGAGCCACACCTGCCAGAGCTGAGCTTCCTTTTAGTAGTTTGGAGTATAGATATAACAGTAGATGTGGCCCTTCTATCCCTTTAAAAGCATTCCACTAGAGATGATAGAATTAGAGTTCTGTATGGTTGGTTGATTGATTTACTGCAGTTCACAAAGCTCTTTGGATAGTTTTGAATTTAGAATTAAGATAGTCCAGGCAGCATGGCTCAGTGGTTGAGCGTTGACCTATGAATCAGGAGATAATGGTTCGGTTTCTGGTCAGGGCACATGCCTAGGTTGTGGACTACATCCCCAGTGTGGGGCATGCAGGAGGCAGCTGATCAATGATTCTCTCTCATCATTGATTTTTCTATCTTTTCTCCCTCTTTGAAATCAATAAAAATATATTTTAGAATTAAGATAATCAGTGTTTCCTTTACTGTGAATAATAGTCCTAACCCTTTCTAAATAAAACATGTGACTACTCAGTCTCAAGCTTCTTTATTTTTATTATTTTTTTTTAATATATTTTATTGATTTTTTACAGAGAGGAAGGGAGAGAGATACAGAGTTAGAAACATCGATGAGAAAGAGTCATCGATCAGCTGCCTCTTGCACACCCCCTACTGGGGATATGCCCGCAACCAAGGTACATGCCCTTGACCAGAATCGAACCCGGGACCCTTCAGTCCCCAAGCCGACGCTCTATCCATTGAGCCAAACCGGTCCCGGCTCAAGCTTCTTTAAATGCTCTTAAAAACATACAGCCCTCGCCAGTTTGGCTCATTCGATAGAGCGTCGTGACACCTGCAGACACTAAACTCTTGATTTTTGTTTCCCAGAAATAAATAAGGACTTTAGCTTTGAATTTAGGACAGTAGTTTACTTTTTTGTTGTTGTTTTTTTTTATTATTAAATATGTTTTTATTGATTTCAGAGAGGGAAAGGAGAGAAAACATCAATGATGAGAGAGAATCATTGATTGACTGCCTCCCGCATCTCCCAACTGGGGATCAAGCCCCCAACTTGGGCATGTGCCCTTGGCCAGAATTGAACTAGGACCCTTCAGTCTGCAGGTGTCACGATGCTCTATCCAATGAGCCAAACTGGCAAGGGCTGTATGTTTTTAATTTTTTTTTTCTACTTAGTTTTTTAAAAGCACTCATGTATTGTAGGATATCAATATCTTTCATTGCACATGTGTGTTGTATATATGTGTGCTTACTTACATGCACATATAGTGTAACTAGAGGCCTGGTGCATAAATTTGGGCACCAGTGGGGGCCTTCGCCTGGCCTGTGAGATTGGGCCAAAATTGGCTCTTCGATATCCCCCAAAGGGTCCCAGATTGAGAGAGAGGGTGCAGGCCAGGTCAAGTGACTCCATCGATGCATGATCAGGGCCAGGGAGGAATGCGGAAGGTTGGCTGGCTGAGGAGGGACTGCAGGAGGGCTCCAGGGCGTGTCTGGCCCGTCTCACTCAGTTCTGATTAGCTGGACCCCAGCGGCAAGCTAACCTACCATTTGGAGCATCTGCTCCTGGTAGTCAGTGCAAGTCATAGTGACTGGTTGACTGTTTTCCCCCTGGTGGTCAGTGAATGTCATAGCAAGCAGTTGAGTACCCTTGGCATATCATTAGCATATTATGCTTTGATTGGTTGAACGAAGGACTGGACACTTAGCATATTAGGCTTTTATTATATAGGATTCTTTTCAAAATACACAGTGTTGGCATAAGTCATTGCCTACATTTTTCTGTGTACTCTAAGTCAAATTAGAGGTGCTGGAACTGTTCATTTGGTTTGGGAAGCTGAGCCGGAGTTAGTAGTATGGGCTTTATAGGATCACTACTACTCCCCTAAGACTTCCCCATGCATTAGTGCTTTGTTTGTATCTCCCTTTTGTGTGGCTGCTGAGGAGGGGGGAATTTCTGGCATGAGAAGAGATTAGGGAAAGTTCTATTGAGGCGATATCATTTGAGCTGGGTTTAGAAAGAAGGGTAGGATTTCAGAGGGTAGAAATGTGGGTTGGAAGTGAAGGGGCATTACAGAGCGAGTCTAACGTGGGCAAAGACAGAGAGGTAAGAAAGTACTGTGAGTGCTTAGAGGACACTGAGACCAGTTTGTCCAGAATATATGGCCGACACAAAGGACGTGGTAAGGAAAACTAGATTTTAGAATTCTTTAACAAACTTGTTAATCTTATTTCATTTGAATATTTCTTTTGGGATTCTTAGCTTCCTGGTTTTCTATTTAACAAAAGTAATAAAAAGATAAACTTAGCTTTTTGTAAAATACAACAGCGTCCAAATTACTGGGCCCAAATTAATGATAATTTTTTTTTTGTCTTCCTTTTCATCTTTATTTTTCCAAAGTCCTTGACCGTGATGAATAAACATACATGCCAAGTTGCTGACTTTTTTTTTCTTCATTTTAAAATTATAGTTTTTACAGTGAACAGAAAGAAAATGTCATGTGCAGTTGATAAAATAGAAATGACATCGTAATAGGCACGTAAGGGGAAGAAAAACACTTTCTCCCAGGCCGTTACCAGCAAGCACATGACGACACACCAGGGAGCTAAAGCAGTGCTGTGCTCAGGCTCAGTCAGAAGTGTTCTTGCCGCCGAATGCTTTGTTCCTGACCTCTGCGTGAAGGGTGGAGTGGAATCAAGTTATTAAATCCTTGTCTGGTTTTTCTCATTATGTGATGGGTTGCTCCCCTCAAGGATAGTTAGCTGCTTACTTGCTTGTTACTGTTGGTGGTGGTGACAATCGGTGTGCACGTTGTATCGAAGTGTAATTGCTAGAAGGCGTGTGGAGACCCGGAGGAAGATGCTTGCTCGTGGGCAATCTGAGGGGAACGCTGACTCGGAGGGAGGCCTCTGAGGAAGGCTCTTCCTCCTCTCTGCTAGCGGGCAAGGTCTGGGCACGCTTCTCCTGCCCAGGCCACCAGCAGAGCTGCCCACCGGGGGCGACCGCCCTGTGTGCGAGTCCTCTCTCGGACACGAACGTGGGTCAGAGACCTCCAGGTCTAGCCCTGGGGCCCTGGTGAAATAGCTACTTGTTATGAAAGCTGTTATGTGCCTTTCCCTCTTGGCCCATGGTGGGCAAGCTGTGGCTTGCGAGCCACATGCAGCTCTTTGGCCCCTTGAGTGTGGCTCATCCACAAAATACCACGGCCTGGGCGAGTCTGTTTTGAAGAAGTGGCATTAGAAGAAGTTTAAGTTTAAAAAATGCGGTTAAAAAATCGAAAAGAAATTTCGATTATTGTATTGTTGGTATTTGGCTCTGTTGACGAATGAGTTTGCCAACCACTGCCGTAGGCAGTTGAAAGTCATTGTCATAAGCCTTCTTGTCTACCCTCTATGGAGGGTTTATGATGTCCACCTTATAGCCAAGGAGAGGCCCAGAAAGGCTCAGGAACCTGCCAAGCTGACACATTGCTGCCTGGTGGCAGAGCCAGGCCTTCAAATCTAGGCCTGACTCCTAAATGTCAGAGCAGTGGCCACTCACTTCGGTGTGAAAAACTACTGGAATCATACTTCCCACGAGCACGCCGTGAGGGGCAGAGTGCGCAGAGGAGCGCGGCAGTTACCATTTTCTTATCCAAGGAAGCTTATCTGGGAAACAGTGACAGGGTTTGAGGGAAAAAAACTTAATATGAATTACAGCACAAGTAATATAAACTTAACATAAATTATAAAAACCTAACCATATAAATGAAAGGCATTACCACTTGACACACTAATTGTTTTGAGTGAGGAAAAACGGTGTTGGGAAGATAAACAGTAAATAAAAAATTAGCTTGGTTTGTTTCTGTTGTACCTCTGACAGGAAGGAGTTGAGACAGCTTGACAGCTAGAAAAGGAGATGAAAAACCAAGAGGCACAGGCCCTGCCATTTTGTCTCCACCTTTTTTTTTTTGTGAAACATTCGTTGAAAGTGGACTCAGTTGCTAACCTTTTTCATAAAGAACACGTTGCATCCCATGAACAAACCCTGTCATTGCCTCCAGTGTTACAGGCGATATCTTAGGAAGAAGGAAGAAGGTGTAAGAGCCGGTCTCCGGACCGGCGTGGTAGCTGACTACATGGGCTGTTACTGTTCAGACCTCATCTGTGAGGTCTCTTGTTCCACTGAAATTGCTGGAGACCAGGCAGAGAGATGGGAGGGGACCGCATTCTTGATCCTGTGTGGGCTGGGAGTGCAGAACCGTCAGAGATAAGTGGATGAAAGAAATGAAGTTTGTTAATCGAGGCCAGAAAGTCAGAGACTTGGGGCTTAAAGAAGAAAGACTCAGAGGAAACATCTGCCAGCAGCTCCTGTGGGTGGGTGGGTGAGTGGGTGGGTGGGTGGGGAGCCGAGGGAGAGGAAGAGGATCAGAACCCACCTACGCTGTTACTAAGCTTGTTGAAGAGGAAGCTGGTCTAATTTGATGTTGATTCTTCCCCTCTGGATCAGAAAACAGAAGCCTTACAATCTGCTATTCATATAGAAAGTGTGAGTAGAAAAAGGAAAATGCACGTGTGAGGCTGAGAACATCTGCTGGAGCGAGTCAGAGGCGGCTTGGCAGTGACTTGAAGGCAGCTTGCTAGTGCTCAGTGAGGAGGTGGAGGGGTGAGGGTGAGAGTAGTGAGGTCACACGCAGCGTCCCACCCTGCATCTCCTGTCTTCTGTGCTCAGACGCAGAGGGAGTGCTGTGGTTAAGGCAGCAGCCAAGAATAGGACATGAAGGTAAAGGGCTCCAACATGGTACTCTGGTTCCCTGGGGAAAGGCTTGAGAGACATAACCGAAGACCTGCCCCACACAGGATTCCAAGAGCCCAGATTCTCGGGCCTGGCCTCCCTTTCATTTCCGAGCCATTCCTGTTGGGTCCCCGGGACTGCCTAGTATGAGTGACAGTGGCTCCTCCACCCTGTGGTTTCCCACCACAGTGAACTGCCTGCCTGCCAGAGGCTGTGGGAGACCACCAGAAGGCTGGACTGCTGGGCTCAGGTGTTTCTCATCTTTATTTTCAAGAGGAAACGAAGGTTCAGGAAGTTAAGGCACTCATTCTGGGTCACAGAGCTACTAAGTGGTGGACCTGGAACATGGACCCAAGTCCTTCTGATTCCAGTGCACCATTGCCTAACAGTGAAATTACACTCGACCTGGAAGAATCCTTCAGAAACTTAGATGGAGACTATTGGGTGGCAACTTAAAGAAAACTTACTTTGGATCTTTACCATGTTACATTTAACAAAATCAATTCCTGATGGGTTGGAGAGTTAAATACACACACACACACACACACACACACACAATAAAGGCTTAGAAAAACTAGAGGGTAGATTTGAATATCAAATTTCTAAAGCAGAATGCTTTTCTAAACTTTATAGCATTAGAAGAAATCACAAAATAACACAATTATTTGCAACTACAGTATATAAAATTTAAATTTTTGAACATCAAAACAAAACTATAAATTTGCAAAAACTGAGAAAGCAACACCACCTAGTGCTGGCCAGAACTGTCATATATTCTTACTCGAGACCTAATGCATGGAATTTGTGCAAGAAGGAAGGCCTTCCTTCCCCCGGCTGCCAGCACCGGCTTCCTTCCGGACCCTGGACCCGGGCTTCCCTCTGGCCACTGGCAGGCACCCGGACCAGGGCTTCCCCCTGCCCACCCGCTGCAGCCCGCCGGTCCATGGTGGCTCATTCGGAGGTCGTCCGGAAGGATGTCCAGAAGGTTGTTCGGCTGTCCAGTCTAATTAGCATATTATGCTTTTGTTATTATAGATTATTACAGATGATATGGCAATCAGTGAAAGGCCCCTGTAGAAAGTATGTGGAAAACATAAAAATGCTCATCTCTGCAGTAATTCCACTTGTGGGAATCTCTGAACTATGTAAAATGCTATTTCCATGGGAAGGTTTTTGCAGTGTTTTTCAAACCAAAAATAAGGAAAATAATCTAAATGTCCAATACGGGGATACTGGTTAAGTAAGCAGATTGCTAGATGAAATGTTATATGAAGAATTATATAACCATTATCATCATTGATCATGAATTCTGCCTTCCAATGTAAAATGATGTGGATGTATAAATCTTTTTTTTCATGTATGCTTTTTTTTGGGTTACAAAAAGAATTTTGGTAGTTCTACCACACAAGACTGAGACGAAACATTGCACATTGAAATCTTACTTAAGATGGTTGTCTTTGCTTTATTTTCTGAGCTTTAGATCATATATTTATTTATTTACAAATCCTAAGTAAAAAAGGACTCATTCTTTGATCTACAGGATGGGTTTCCGGATTTCCAGGACTCTGTGCAAACCCTCTTCCAGCAGGCCAAAGCTAAGAGCGAAGAGCTCGCTGCTCTCGGTTCCCAGGTAACATAAGTTAACACTCATAAGAAGAGCTGTAGGTTGGAAAGTAAACGGCTGCTTCACCTGGCTCCAGTTTTAAGCATCCAAGGGCTGAATTAATTTCTGGTTCTTAAAATGTCATCCAATCACAGCTGTGTCAACAAGATAGCAATAACAACTTGGTTTGCTTTGGGTTATGAGCAGAATGTTTTTGAGCAGAATCCGATACAGTGATACTTATTTATCCTTCGTAGTATAAAATATTAATAGTCGACTTTGTAGCTTTTGTTAAGTCATTTCAATTAATGGGTAATAAAAGTTGTTAAATTAATATGCAGCTTCAGGTACTTTTGCTATTGTTTCATTATGTACACGGAAATTAACATTTTAAAACGTCATTTCTGCAGACAGCATCTTTTGGAAAGTACTGTGAGTTTTATTCCTGCTGATCTTCTCCCCAATGACTGCTTCTGGTCAGATTTAGTGGTGCCAAGTTTTGTTTTTCACGTTAAGAGCATGAAAAATACATTTCCCACTCAGAATTCTTTTGAAATTTTATCAGTTAATTAGTAACAAGTTCAAATGAATTGAGGTTATGATTTCCTTTGATCTGATTTATGAGCATTCAGAAAAATAGGAAAAACTTGTATCCTATTCTATGAATTAATATATTTCACCTACTGATTTTTACCATTGCGAATCAGGATTGTTTGTAAATTATTTTATACAGCAGCTTCCTTATATTACTCTTTTATGTAGCATAGTAATGATTCATGACTATAATTTTTAGCTTTTTTTTTTTATTGATTTCATATAGGAAGGAGAGAGGGCGGGGAGAGAGAGACACACACACCAATGATGAGAGAGAATCATTGATCAGCTGCCTCCTGCAGGCCCCCTCCTGGGGATCAAGCCCAAAACCTGGGCATGTGCCCTGACTGGGAATTGAACCATAACCTCCTAGTTCATGGGTTGATGCTTAACCACTGAGCAACACTGGCTTAAGTCTATATTTTGACTATTACTCTTTAGCAAAATATCATCAATACACTGTTCTGAATATCACATTTATGTAATTTAGAACAGTACAAAGAGAAGGAACTTATAAAACACACACAGAAATAAACTTTTATTTTAGCCAACTAATTGTGAGTTTGAAAACATGTATTTTATGATTGGTTGGAAAACACTGCCATTATTCCATGACGAAGGTGAAGGTCCTCGTTGGCACTGATGCTTTTCTGCAGAATCCGCATTGTGAATTTTAGGGGAAGCATCTCCTTTTTCTAGACAGCCATTTTACACTTTCTCCCCCCAAATACTGTCATCATTCCAGAGTCTGTGTAGCGCCAAATCCTAAAATAAAAATGCCAAGATTCCACCCGTGAGAAGCAGCTTCTAGCAGGCGCTGCTGCTGCACTGAGGTTCCTTTCTCAAAAGCCCTTCCAGAGGACTCGGCACTTGAGAAAACAGAGCTGAGGTTATTTTGCTTTTGAGCTGAACTGGAATTCTCTCTGTTGGATTGAGCAAGAAGGTTTTCTTCTTTTGCATACTTATGGAACATGTATGCCACATGAAGTGTGAACTAATTTTAATGAATTCTAAATATATCTGCAGGAGTCTGAAATTGGCATCTTCAGACCATTAAAAAAATCTAGAATGTTTTGGTTACTGATTTTATTTTTGCTTTCTTACTAGCAGCCTGAGAAGGGAGTGACGAAGCAGATGGAGTTCCTGTGCACGCAGACCGGCTACGAGCGGCTGCAGCAGGCCGAGAGACGGCTGTCCACGGGGCTGTACCGGCAGAGCTCAGAGGAGCACAGCCCCAACGGCCTGGCCTCCGACAGCTCCGACGGACAAGGTGCTTGCTTAGCCCGGCCACACCTTCAGACCCTGCTATTGGTGCACTTCAAAGAGAGACAAAACCTTGCTGGTTTTTAAATCTTGATATTTTTAAGAGATCATCTTATAGATTCTCTACCAAAATTAATTTACCAATGGCCCCTTTTTTCAAAAAGGGAAGGAATTCACTCTGCAAATCTAATTTTTAAAGTTGTGTGAGGTTTTTTTTTTTTAACCTTATCATCCCCAAATAACAGCTGCACGTAGAGTTGATCTGTATTTTGTGAAGGGTGGTGTGAATGGGAGATGTGAATAGTGCAGTATCCTGGGTACCCACAGGGGGATTGGCTTCAGGTCCCCCTGTAGACACCAGAGTCTGGATGCTCAAGTCCCTTAGATAAAACAGCGCAGTATTTGCATATAACACTGCGCTGTTTTATCTAAGGGACTACGTGCACCCTCCCTCCCGTCTACTTTTAATCATCTCTAGGTTACTGATAATACCTAATATAATGGAAATGCTATGTAAATAGTCATCACATGCTAATGTTTAGGGAATGATGACAAGATGAAAAGGCTTCATGTGTGCAGTACAGATGCATCCATGTAAGTCGAACTACATACTGCACCCACTCATTAAACGTGTGTTAGTGTCTCCCCTGTGCCAGGCACGCTCCTAGGCCCTGAGCGGCAGTGGGGAGCAAGGAAGGCCTGCTGCTCGGGGATCGCACTAGTGGAGGGAGATCCCGGGATGGAAGTGCAGGTCTAGGGCCCCTATTTTCAAATGGCGGTATTGCGTGAGCAGAAACAGTAATTTTCTAGGGCCTTATTTTTTTTTAAATCCTCACCCGAGGATATTTTTCCATTGATTTTCAGAGAGAGTGGAAAAGAGAGGGAAAGACAGAGAGAAATATCTACATGAGAGAAACACATCGATTGGTTGCCTTCCGCATGAGCCCCAACCAGGATCAGGGCCAGGGAGGAGCCTGCAACAGAGGTACATGCCTTGACTGGAATCGAACCTGGGACCTTTTGGTTTGCAGGCAAGTGCTCTCTCCACTAAGTCAAACTGGCTAGGGCTAGGACCTTCTTTTTTATATGTTACTGTTATACTTTTCTAGAGAGTGGTTACTATTGTCAAGAAGATAAGATTTCCTTCTGAGTGGGAAAGCCATGTGCAGCACCATCTAACTGTTGAATAAAATATTACCGTGTCATCAGGTCACAATGGTGAGGAGAATGCTCTTCCCTTTTTAAATGTTACAGAAACTTTCTAGTGGAGGTCTTGTTTAACCTCTCCAGTCATCCTTGACAGTGACGACTTCAGAGTTAAGAAGCAAAAGCATTCATGAAAGATTTTGATGACTAATTTGTCACACCAGGATAATTCAGTGGGGGTGGCAGTTTGCTAAGTGTGTGATAGATTTAGGTTTATGACAGGATTAGAAGCCTGGTGCGCTGAATTTGTGCACTGGGGGGAGGGAGGGAGTGGATCCCCTCAGCCTGGCATGTGCCTTCTCGCAGTCTGGGACCCCTGGGAGATGTCCAACTGCTGGCTTAGGCCCGCTGGCAGACATCCCCCAAGGGGTCCTTAGCACTGCTGCAGAGGCAGGAAAGGCTCCTACCACTGCCACTGCACTTGCCAGCCATGAGCCTGGCTTCTGGCTAAGCGTGGGAGTGCACTGACCACCAGGGGACAGTTCCTGCATTGAGCATCTGCCCCCCTGATGGTCAGTGCGTGTCATAGCAACTGGTCATTCCGCTGTTCAGTCAATTTGCATATTAAGGTTTTATTATATAGGATATGTTTGTTATATAAGGCATTTTCACCATGTCTGTGATAATTCTATTTTTTCACAGATTTGCAATAGGTTTTCCTGTTATTGTTTTTAATAATAAACAGTTGGCTAGAGCCATCTCTGTCTCTCTAGTATTTATCATGTAGTTCACGATAGGCCATGGCAGAATGGTCGCACTAGTAAGAAAATGCCTGACAGAGGGGATGTATTATATACCAGAGGTGAGCACTTACTCAGAATCTCAGTCTTTTGTTTAGTTTGTGATTAGTTCTTAAAAATGTCTGGCAGAATTGTAAACTTGGGACTAGTAAGAATTACCATTTTCCTCCTCTATTCTTTCACAAACTATATCTACTGTTACTGGATTCTTCTGTGCCTGTGGACTTTTCCTTACTCCTTTCTGAAGGAGTGTTGAGGCAGTTTGTGGAAATTATTTTTAAGAAAAACCATGGTGTGTTTTTAATAGTACTCATGCTGCTTTCTTTTTCTTTCCATTAGGAGAAAGACCCTTGAATCTCCGAATACCTAACCTACAGAACAGACAGCCCCAGCATTTTGTGGTGGACGGGGAACTGAGTAGACTTTACCACAGTGAGGCCAAGTCCCACTCGTCAGGTGAGAACAGGATATCATTAGAGAGAAACACTGAATACAGCATCTTTAAATTCTGTTCTTCACCTCCCACTGGAGAGCCCTAACAATGTGACTAGTCAGTTTTTCTCCCCTTGGAAGTAAGAGATGACCATAATAATGGACAGTCTTCTTGAGGCCATGGTCTTCCAAAGAGTTGACAGGGAACAACTCAGGAAGGTTGAGATTTTTAAAAAATATATATTTTGATTTTTACAAAGAGGAAGGAAGAAGGATAGAGAGCTAGAAACATTGATGAGAGAGAAACATCAATCAGCTGCCTCCTGCACACTCCCTACTGGGGGTGTGCCCAAAACCAAGGTACATGCCCTTGACCGGAATTAAACCTAGGATGGGTCCACGGGCTGACACTCCAACCACTGAGCCAAACCAGTCAGGGCTTGAGATAATTTTGATTAGCTATCACATGAGTGGTGACTCTAATACAAAATTTTATACCAAATTATAAATGGCTGGTTTGAGTTTCATAACTGTCAAATTTTGAGTTTCATAGCTACCTTTCACAATATGAAGTTGATGGATTCCATGTTTGCTCTTCGCTGAGAAAATCTGTGTATCAGAAGCTAAACTTGCCATGCAGATACATCATGGGGATGGCGTTTGTAGTTCGAAAGTAAACTGAACTCCATAAAAGGATGAGCTGTTCCTTATTTATAGTTAGACTAGAGGCCTGGTACACAAAATTCATGCATGGGAGAAGGGTGTCCCTCAGCCCGGCCTGCAACCTCTCTACTCCGGGACCCCTCAGGGGATGTCCGACTACCGGTTTAGGCCTGATTCCCTAAACCGGCAGTTGGACATCCCTCTCACAATCTGGGACCACTGGCTCCTAATCACTCACCTGCCTGCCAGCCTGATTCCTCTAATTGATCTCTCCTGCCGGCCTGATCCCCCTAACTGCCTTCCCCACCAACCTGATCCCCCTAACTGCTCTTCCCTGTCGACCTGATCACCTCTAACTGCCTCTGCCTTGGCCCCGCCAAAATGGCTTTGTCCGGAAGGACGTCTGGTCTAATTAGCATATTACCCTGTTATTAGTGTAGATGTTTACATATTCTTGCCCAAGTGAAGTGAGTTGGGCAGTTATATTGCTAGAGATGATACCATGCAAAGGAATCAGTCAGTCTCTGAGCTAAAGTAACCTTAGGAGTCACTTGAAGTCAGAAATTCTTTCACCTCATAGAACGGTTATGAGGACAGACAAGACAGTTACATGAACTGCCTGGCTGATAGGAATTCGACAAATGGTAGCTACTATTTTTATTACTCTCTTGGCTGAATTTAAAATCCACTTTTTTGTATAGGGAAGGTAAATTCATAAATGGAACCACCTAATTTCAGATAAACTATGAGTATTGGTTACCTTTCCAGATGTGTGTGTGTGTGTGTGTATGTGTATACATAGCCCCCAGTATTAGTACTTTGTATAACTGTTACATTTTATTGTCATTCTGTAGTGTTTGTGTGAGATTCAAATAACTGCACACACATAACTCTAAGGAATTATTCCTTATGAATGCGTTTTCATTCTTTTATTACTGTTTCTCCCACTTAAATGTTTCATGGCTCGAGAAACTTTTAAAAATAGTTTCATGTTTAAACACAAAAGATGTTTTTCTGTTTCATTTTTTTTTTCATTGACAGTAAATATTTTGGCTATTAACTTAGTTGTGTATGAGTGACTGGTTTTATTTTATATATTTTACTTACCACATTGGACCAAGCATTAAATGAAAGTCAGTATGTCCTGTGTGATAAATGTGTTACGTGCACTTGCTGACTTCACTCTCACATCGCCCAATAGAGGTATTATCCCCAGTTTGTAGATGAAGACACTAAGGCTTAGAGTGAGGGGTGACTGCCCTGAGATGGCAGAGATGGAATTTAAATATAGAGTCCAAGCTCTTCACAGCTCCCTGTAAACATTAAAGTTTTATATGGAATCGCAGCATTATGAATTATTAATACTGTTTGCTGTGGACTTTGGGGGCTTGTTTTGCACGTTTGTTTGAGTTTGTTTTGCGATCCACTGATTTAAAGTCTCTTACACTTGGTGTTTCCCTCTTTATGCAGAGAGCCTGGGGATTTTAAAAGACTACCCTCACTCCGCTTTTACTTTAGAGAAGAAAGTCATCAAAACAGAGCCTGAAGATTCAAGATAGCTGTGATTTCCCCACTGTTCTCTGGAAACGGCATCAGTTTTAAGGATAATGCTTCCATCATAGAAATAAGCCTTAATAACCAATGTTGCCTCATTCAGCTCAAACAGATTTCATAGCCAAAGCGTAAGGACTGAACACAGTGCTCTGGAAGCCAGGAAGACAAAGCAGCAGCCACAACAGAGAAAATAGAATGTTGTAATAGAAATATTGATCCATTCGCATTCCTGTGTAATTCATTTTATGTGGAAAGGCTTACAAAGTAATATTGTAAGCATTTATTTAAGAATGTACAATGTATTTGTGTAATTTATAGAAGTAAAATGTAGGTGTTGAGACCTGTTTGGTCCAGTAGATATGGATACAGTTTATTTTACTTGAAATTTCATTGTCTACTTTAAGCGTATTTAGCGTAAATTTTATATGTCAGAGTTTAGAATCTTTGCAGTCATAAAGAAAGTTTAAGTAATGTAGTTATTGGCAGGGTAGCAGGACTTTGGAGAAATGGAATTTAGCAAGCACCTGGTTAAAACCAAGGAAAATATTGTGGATTTAATATTTGACGAAACTGATTTTGTTTAGTAGGAACTGTCATTTAGAGTAGTAAGGTGTCATTTTTTGCTGGCTTACTCAGGCACATGTACACACATAATCAGTACTGGAGTAAAGTTAAAAAGACGAGAAGCACAGAAGGCAATCTTTCTTAGCCTTGTTGCCAGATTGCATTGTATGATCCCTATGTAAGCTGTGGCAGACATAGAAAGCTGTTACTGGGACAGAGACCTTGAAACAAGCTGACGATTGGTACAAGCCTCGATTTAAACATTGCTGTTTCTGAGCATGTGAAATAGATTAAGACATAGTAAGTTAACCCTAAATGTGACCCGGATGGTGACTGTTAACAAAGGCTGTAACATAATAAAGGAAGTACTGTCTTATGTCCAGAAGCTCTTCTCGACACTGTGCAGTTGGGGAAACTAGACTCTCCCGGGGAGGTCTCCCCACCCAGCCCCTCCCAGGAGGGCAGAGTCACTACATCCACGTGTGCAGGCATGTTTCTGTGGCGGTTTAGTTGACTAATTATTTATTTTATAATTTCATTTTTGTACAACTTTCAGATTTGTGAATGCAGGTTTTTTTCTTTAAAATTCATTTTCACTTGAAAGTCTGTTTTAATTCCCCCTATTTAATTAATGGGCAGTGTGCATATACATGGGGACGGGGGAAGAGATGTGCTTCAATGTTTATAATGTACTTGCACATTTATGAGAATTTCACATTGGAGCTTATACTAAGAAAACAAATACTGTTAGAAATTTACATTTTTTTCTGTTGGTTTAGGAGGAGAACGTATTAGACAGCTTTACCTGCTTCCTCCAGATTCATGTAAACCCCGATATTGCTAAGAAGAGCAGATTGACTTGGAATAGGTGTGGTTTTTGTTTCAGTTCTGCTCCAGGTCATAACTGCATAAAAATATTAAGGCATAATCCATTATACTACAACTCCTCAACCCAATGCTAGGTGAAATGTCTGTGCTGGAGTTGCGTTCACTGTCACATGTACAGCTGCTTTTTCACTTTGGTTTGTAGACTGGCTTTCCACAGAAACACCAGTGAACTGCGCCTGTCCTATCTGACGCTGCCCCTCCCGTGTGTTCATTGAACCAGAGCATTTCCCCCGTAAAGAGCTTCTCGTGGACCTAGCAGCTCCGTTGCTAGCTGGAGGTTGAGTGCTGTGCTTGTCTTGTTCACTGTGTGTAGAAATAGTACGAGTACGATTTAAATAGGTTATTCCGTTTTTAATATTAGCCATAGAACTGGTTAGTATCTCAGTAGTTTCATGAAACGTTTTCTGTATTCTAATCTATTTGGAGAAATTGTGTAGGTTTTTTTTTTTTTTAAATTGTGTCTTACAGTTGAAGTTTGTACATTTTAATAAGCAACAATTTTTAAAGATGCTGTAATCTTCCAACTAATATTTATCTTTCATGGCCAAACAAACTGCATCTTTAAGTCCATAAGTAAGTTTCCTTAAGTATTAGACGTTTCTGGTCTTTCAAGCTTAGTGATAAGAGGGAAGCACAAGAAAAATTTCCGTAGAATCCAGTTTTTATTGTATAAACACTAATATATTAAATTTGCTATACATTGAAGCAAATAATATATATTTTTATTTGAATTGTATATATGAATTGGATGTTATAACAGTTTGGTGTGTTTTTTTTTCCCATTGTGTTAGAGGTATTTTCACTGAACAAGGTCAATTGGTTACCTCGGTAATACGGCCCAAAGGGCCATTTCTCCCTCCGTTGCGTTGTACTTTATTATGTGAAGTCTGCGTGTCTGTGACTCTCAGCTGTTGGTGAGGCAGGGTGAGTGCCCCCGCTTCCCGTGGCAATAAAGGTCTTGTGCCTCACACATGTATGTTTCTAGAACTTTCTGCACAGCACTGTCCCCAGCAGGTGTATTGGCTTTTCTGCCTCCCTCTCTGGGTACTTGGTCTGGGCTTGGGACTTAGGGGCCAGGGGCTGTGTCTCAGTCAAGACTAAAGGTCATTCTCCACTGCCTGCCATGGCCAGAAAGTAATGTGGCCAATAGGTGCTCAGTCGACTCTGGGCTGTCAGAGAGAATTCGGTTTGTTCTCACAAGAAGTTTATAAAGGCATTAAAAAAAAACAAAAACTATACTGTATTTAACCAAGTATTTAATAAGCGAGAGGAACACTAGGATTTAACATTTATGATATACTACTGTTGAAAGAGTTACTGTGGCTTGGCTTCAGTATTACAGGCTACTTCTATGCAATTGAGCTAACCTGTGCTGGGAAATTAGCAAAAAACTTTGCACCGAAGATTTAATTGATGCGCTTCAAAGATTAAAGAAGAGCTGCAGTATGTCCAACACTGTGCTAGGTGCTGTGGTGAGGGTGGGGCCACCAAAGAAACATAAGACATGATGTTTGCCCTCTGACAACTCTACCTGGTAGGATTGTAACCAGTACCACTCAGATGAAACTACCGATGTTTGTGTGCCCTGGGCTTGGGATCGATAAGGAGCTGACACATCAGTGCATTCGATATGTCTGGGCACTTTGCAGGTGAAAGAAAGCACAGTTAGTGAGTGAGACTTGGAAAAGAGGGATCAGGATGGAAATAGATAACATAAGGCTGTAGGATACGATTTAAAGCCATAGTGGTTGTGCATTTCACTTGGAGGCCACTTAAGAGAAAATCATTGCTGTTTTATTTTGAAGCTGAATGCCAGTTAGATCTTCATACCAGGATAGTAATTATTTTGATAGTCTCACTGAACCTGTCACAAGACAGGGGGGAAAAAATGGGCTTTTTCCTGTCCTTAATTAGTGAAACCATTGGGTAAAAGCTTAAGAATGCTAGCACCTAGCAGACCTTTACAATTATAGTTGACTAGAGCCCAGTGCACAAATTCATGCACAGGTGGGGTCTGGCTGGCCTGCCCTGATCAGAGGCGATTGGGCCAGAGGGTGGGGCCACAGATGGTTGGCCGACTGGCCCCACTCCTCGGTTGAACTCCTGGTGAAGGGAACAATTTGGATATTAGCGTTTTATTATATAGGATAGGATGGTACTAAAGATTTAAAACCTAACTATGCATGCACGGAATTTCCTAGCCTATTGCCTGCTGGTTGGCTACTCAAATGTTTAAGCATTATTGACACAATGCCCATTTTGCTTATGACTACTTAATACTGAGTCTTGAAGAGAAGATGAACCAGGGTACTAACCTAATGAAACTAGAAGGTCTATCTCTTGTGGGAAATGAATTCAGTTAGTGAATTGCACAAGTGTTCTGTGTTTGTAACAGTGTGAAGCATATGACCAAATATGGCAACTGCTATTTAACTCAAAACCACCTAATGGTCCAGCTGTGTGCATGGGTGGTGGTTCAGGGAGTCCAAGTTTATTTATTCCTTACTATTTTAAAAATATATATATATTTTATTGATTCTTTTACAGAGAGGAAGAGAGAGGGTAGAGAGAAACATCGATGAGAGAGAGTCATCGATCAGCTGCCTCTTGCACACCCCCTACTGGGGATGTGCCCGCAACCAAGGAACATGCCCTTGACCAAGGTACATGCCCTTGACCGGAATCGAACCCGGGACCCTTCAGTCCCCAAGCCATTCTATCTTCCCTCTATCCATTGAGCCAAACCGGTTTTGGCTATTTCTTACTATCTTAGGGTGTCTTTGTAAATGAGATTCTCAAGTGGGCCTGCAAAATTAATAAAAGAAGAATGTCCAGAAATATATTTTTATTGTAAATACATTCAATCTCAAAAACCTTGCTGTTACATGTAGGACTCTGTGGAGTGACCTTTATTCTACCCAGAAGTCAAAGGTTGAATGGTAGGGCTAAGGTTTTTAAAATTCATTATTTTGAGTATGCAACAGGTGCAACTTTAAAACCTCTTTTCTGGCATCTGTTTCTGCTGACCTAGGAAAACAAAAAAATAAAAACCATCTCAAAGGTGTTTTATTTTTTTGTTTAGAAAAAATTCAGAAATTTATTCTTCAAGCTCAACTTACAAACCTATAAGTTTAGCAGATTTTATCTACCACTTTTATGGGAACAATGAATAATGATTTGTTCCATTGACAAAATTGGTTAATTAAGCTCTTGTCTTTATTCTTTCATATTCTTCCAGTTTTAAGGGCCAGGAAGTTTTTAATTATTAAAATATCCTGTGGAATTCTGGGTCTCCTGGCTGTGTCTGTGGCCACAGCTCCCCAGGTTATTCCTCCTATAGCTAACCAATGACCTTCCACTAGATCACTTTAGCAGGGCCGTCAGTTTCATCTTCACATTTCCTCTCAGGTGAAGGAGAGTCAAACAGGGACACTGGCAGTGAATCGCACCAAGTCCTCATCCTGGTTTTACTGCAACCTTCAAATAAAATGTTTTTTGTTTGTTTGTTTTATTGCCTTTTCAAGACCCTTGAGTGAGAAAGTGCCTCTGTCTA